TGTTTCACATGCCGCCGTGGCGAAGGAAACGAGGCCCACGAGATAGCCTTCGTGCATCGCCGGACCCCCCGAGTCGCCCTGGAAAAGGAGGGAGTGGATGAACGGAAGTGATGCTCAGTGAGAAAGGGACTGGGGAAGGAGGGAAATAGATAAACAGGGAAAGAGAGAAAAGAAGGAACAGACCGAAAAGGAGGGAAATAAACAGATGGGTCTGGAAAGAGACAGAAAAGGGAGGGAGGAAGAAAGGAACAAACAGGCAAGGAGGGAGAAAGATTGGGAGAGAGGGGAGGTAAGCGAGAGACAGAGAAACAATCCACTGCTGATGTTAGGCATTAATTCTATCAACATTATGCGTAATCCTTTTGTTTTAATTTACAAAAAAAAAAAAAAAAAAAAAAAAAAAAAAAAAAAAAAATCCAGAAAAAAATGGGAGAATGAAAGAGGCAGGCGAGGAAAGGAGGAAGAGCAATGGCAAGGGAGAAAGAAAGAAAGAGGCTGAGATAGACAGAGAAAGAGAGAAGTAGAGAGAAAGACAGAGAGAGAGAGAGAGAGAGAGGCAGATAGAGAGAAGGGCAAGCATTTAGACAGAAGGAAAGAGAAACAGACAGGGACGGAGTTTATTCCAAAGATTCTGTAAACCAAGAAAGAGCGACTCACGTCACAGGGGCCAGTTCCCCAATTCGTCGCAGTTGTGCAGAATATGCTTTTGTCCACCCAAGGAAAAGCACTCTTGCATTGCCGAAGAGAGATGGTATGGGTAACTATTTCTTGGAGAGCGGTAACTGGTTTATTTTCCAAAACTGCAATTCAGGCAATGGTTAGAACGAATATATATTCAAACAAAAACAAAAATGATATGATATTCAATTTCTGATAAAAAAAAAGTTATGTAATCATTTTAGATTTAAACAGAAGGAAAAGTTAAATATATATATATATATATATATATATATTATATAAATCTTTAAAAATCAGTGTCTTATTAACTGCTTATATTACTTACCGGTATTTACCCAACCAGTGACCACTACAGGCATATCCACATCCACGTCACGAGTCGGCAATTTGATGGGGAAAACTTTATCTGAGAAGGAAAATGAGAAGCGTTTATATATATATATATATATATATATATATATATATATATATATATATTATATATAATGCATATATATCTTATATATGGATTACATATACATATATGTATTTACATATATATATATATATATATATATATATATATATATATATACACACATATATAAATGCATGTATGTATGTACATATGACAGAGTATTTCACTGACTTTTACGAAAACGTGTATAGACAAATGTATAAATATATAGACACATGCACATACATGCAAACACACACAAACAAGCACATTTACAGCTCTAACATGAACAGTTAAAAAAATTATAACTTACCATTCATAACTATCGCTTGTTCTAGTCTCACAAGGGCAATGTCACCCCTGATGTGACCTTCCCTGGGGTTGTAGTCCGGATGAATTAATGCTTTCGCGACGGGAATCACCTGAGTAAAGCTCTCCTGCACCTTTAGATCGTGTATGCCCGTTGCTACAGTCATTCGCGCATTACTCTCTCTAGAGAAAAAGGAAAGAGGAAAATGAGAAGAGAAAGGAGAGCAGATTATTTTGATGAAGAAGAAAAAGAAGGATATGTATATGTTGTAACATATGCAACATATACAGGCCTGAACTATGCCAGCATACTAGTGCTGTTGGCGTTATTATATTATTATTACTTTTATTATCAATATAATTCTTATCATTATTGATATCTTAATACTTATATTATAATTACTATGAATATTAATATTACCATTATCATTATATGCATAACCATTATTATCATTATCGGCAACATCATCACTATCATTACTTACGTTCGTATGCAGTGGGCAGCTGTCAGGACAAACGTTTCACTGATGACAACAGCCCCACAGACTTCTATTCCTCCTGAAATAAAAGCCTGGTACCCGCGTTTGTACGGCTCTGCCTCAGAGCCTTTCACCATAGCATGGCTAGCTGAGAGAAGGAGGGTGAAATGGAGCTAATTTTGAGTATGGATTATAGTGTGAGTGTGTTTGGGTGGTGTGTGAGTGTAGATAACATGGTGTGAAAGTGACAGTGCATTACTGACAATTTCTCATATCTCAAGACAGTCTTATATTTCCAACCATTGTATTTCGTATCTAGTAATAAAAAAATTACGATTTTCACAATAATCACCAAACCAAATATAGCAATCATCATCATGGCAGTGTTGTGTGCGTTTTTGTGTGTGTGTGCCTATGCTTGTATCTGTGGGTGTGCGCCTATGTATGTTTGTGTGTGTGTGTGTACGTGTCTGTTTGTGTGTGCATGTAAGTAGCCATGTACGCATATATATGTGTGTGCGTGTTTGTGTGTGCGCGGAGACAGAAACTTACGAAGAGGAGGTCCTTCGGCAGGGACCGCGATTGGAGGAATCGAGTT